GGAAAACATTTTCCGGAAAATGTTTTCCTTCATACCAAACACACCCCTAGTCTCATTACAGAGCTATGGAGCATCAAATAAGGAATAAAATTAGTAAAAATGACGAAATATATAAAATTAGAAGTGAAACAGACCGTCTACTTGCAATACATCTTATTAAAGAAAATGACATCCATTCTCATCCTTTTAGGGCATTATTGAAGACTACGAGTTTTTGTTAGAAACCAACAAAGACTCTCTTATATATATCTGGAAAGAGGCGAAACAATATTAAAATTTGCGGCAAGTAAAGGTCATACGCATACTAAAGACTTGATAATATGAAATATTGACCGATTTTATGTAACTCATGAACGATTTTAAGTAGTTTATTTAGTACTTTCCAATATATTTTAAAAAATAAAAATAAATTATAATGTTTGGAAAATTAAAGTTATATAATTAAATGGTAGTTCAATAAACATACGACCGCATAGCGCAGTGGATTAGCGCGTCTGACTTCGGATCAGAAGGTCGTGGGTTCGACTCCCACTGTGGTCGTTTTTTTTGTTTGTCTTTTATGAACATTTTTTTATTGATTTTTTTCCCTATTTTATAAGTAGATAAAATAAAATTGAAAATGATTATTTTTTTCTTTTCTATATAAAAGAATAAAATGTTTTGGTCCATTGTCTACCTTAATTAATTAAGAATTAAAAAAGAAAATTCATTTTAGCATACAAATTACTACACATTATTAGTCTTGGAAAGGTAGAAGCTTTTGCATGAAGCAAGGCTTTTTATTCATGTGGACATTTGTTATCTTCAAAGTGAAGCTAGTGCCTTTGATGATTACACTTCTAGTCATTAAAATTATGAGTCTATGTTAGCTTTTTCAGAGGTTGGAATCAGAATTTAAAACATATGATTTTGTGATTTTATTTTTGAGTGGCCAAGTAATCAAATCGTGTTCTTTCAATATGGCTAAAAGTGACGTTGGAAAAAGTATGTTTTTGTAAGAAAATAGAGCTTGAGGGTTGGTTCGTTTGGTGAGCTTTTTGCTTTCGATAATTGGGGTGGAGAGTTTAAATCTTATAATAGCCAATATCTTTTTCCTCATTCAACCCTAATATATTTATTATTTTTTCTTAAAAGGAGGAGAAATCGTATTTTAGCCTCTTTAAACTCGTAAGTATGATAAATAGCATTATATCTATAGTTAATAATGAATTGGACAAAGCTTACTTATAATTCAAACTTTAGAAAATCTACCTTTAAGTTTGAATAAGTAACTTTCAATATGTTTGTCAGGAAGTTTATTTGCACAAATAATATATTAATTATAATTAATTATAATTTCAAACACAAATCTTTAAAATTTCAATATAAAATTGTTGGGTTTTAGA